GTTAAGATTAGACAGACCCCTACGCAAGGTAAAAAATATTTATTAAATCTTTGCCTTACTAAATAAATGAGTCTACAATATACTAAAAATAATAGATATCGAAAAGATTAGACAGACCCCTACGCAAGGTAAAAATATTTATTAAATCTTTGCCTTACTAAATAAATGAGTCTACAATATACCAAAAATATTAGATACCGAAAAGATTAGACAGACCCCTACGCAAGGTAGAATGTATATTAAATTGAATATCTATTAAATCTTCGCCTTACTACAAAAATAGAAGCATTAAAGCACGTATTTTTTGTTTTTACAATAGATATTATTTATGTAATAGGCGGGGGGAGGGGCTCCGTCCCTCCTCCCTGCACCCCCCTCCCCGCCTGCGCCAATACTACTTACTGGGGGGGGGGCTTCGCCCCCCCAACCTCCCCATTGGTATAATTTTTTTGTTACTTTTTTTGTTAATAACTTTTTAACGAATAATGAGCGACAACATATATAAAGGGCAAGATCATTGGAGCAGCCTCCCTTCATCAGTATATTTACCCTATTTTTTATTGCCTCCACTCCCCTCAGACTCTCCCTTAGTTATCCTTTCATGTTTTAATCCCTAATTAATCAAATATATAATTACAATATCTATATTTATCTGGTAAATCATATAACAATATATAACTTTATTTAAACATTTTTTGTATTAAACTTTGTTTGCGCAGAAAATCCATTTAAGGATATTCATTTGACATCATTCCGAGTATTTCTGCCAAAAATCATAACAATTAAGCGTGGGTCGTTTTCGGAAGTTCAGCCTTTCATTTTTTTTTCAAAATTTCTTCCGCAGCGGTACAGTGAGTTGTTCGGTTCAGTAATGCATCAATCAGTGATAAATGGATCTAAATATATAGCAAGTTATAGATGCTTGAACAAACTCAGCTTTATTAAGACATATGAAGACAGAAACAATCTGGCAGAAAGCAGTAATGTAATTCAAGAGTTGTCTACAATGGGAAAAATATGGTGCAGTGAATAAACGTATGTAGTAAGAAATTGATCAATCATAATTGAATAAGTAGAATAATTGACTATGATGATTGGTCAATTTTTTATACTATTTTAATTTACTATACACAATTTACTATACTATTTTAATTTACTCCCATTGTAGACGACCCTTTATAAAAAATAAATTGTAAGAATTACAAGGCATCATATGATCAAATAAAAAGACAGTTAAAAACTGAAATAAAAAAAAACAGGTACAACTCTAGATTAGAAGCACTTCTAATCAAAGCACTCGATAATTAGTGAACATATGGCCAAAGTTAAATATTTTCGGTTGGGCAGCATAATACTCGAACTTAATTATTTTAAAACTTATATCAGAAATGATATACATAAAAAAATAAGAAAATAGATTAAATTTAAACACATAATACATTGAACTGTTGGACAGTTGTTACTTTGATTTCTTGATAGACTTGCAGAAGTGTAACTGAAATTTGAGACAATAATATAATATATTGAGACAATATTGTGAATAATTTGACAATAAGGAGATCGAAACAAATCAATTTGTGAAAAAAATCACTATCGATTGTTATCGACCACTCATACCTATTGGTAAAAAGACATTAAGCAGAGATCTCACCAGTTGCCAAAGAAACGTTAACCGAAAAAGATCTTGTTGTGATGGAATCTACATATCTCTATTGTAGACCCATCAATAAATACTTAATTAAATGAAACTATACTATACAGATGGCCAAAAGCAAAGATGAATAACGATGGCTTCAAACAGTGATTTTAATTTTAGATCTTGGACACTATAACTCATATCGGAAAAGCAATGTCAAGTGTTCTTCGACTAAAATTAATGTAATTAATTATATTTTGAAATTTTATATTTGCGGATATATATAAAATACTTATTAGTAAAACCGATACATTTTAATATTATTGAAAAAAATGATATAATTATAATGCAACATATTTGTTTGCTGATTCTGCTGGCCTTTATTTCATCTAGTTTCTAATCTAATGTAATTTTTATTATACATACATTATTACACACATCATTACTACATAAGAGATGACTGCTTTTTTTAAAATCTTTTCTCTAAAATTCTTATCAATTTTTTTATTCATATTATTTCGCGATATTGAACAAAAATGTTGCTGGTATGTTTTATAAAAAAATTTCTGACAGAAATTAATAGCAAATAGATAAAGTTGATTTTGACGTTCTTAATTAATCGAAAAAGTTGATTATTTTAAATCAGCTGGACTTGCCGTTTTGAATATTATTCTTCGCGTTGTAGAAGGGCAACTAAACTTAGAACCCAAAGAATAATATTCAAAACGGCAAATCCAGCTGATCTAGAACAATTAATTCTTTCAATTAATCAAGAACGTCAAAATCAACTTTACAATTGTTTTTTTAGAAGTTTTTTATTAATCAGCTTCATATGAAACATATTGGGGCGGCAGCGGAATGAGACAGGCTATTGGTATAAGAACGCTATTTATTCAGATTGTAGATACAATAAAAGAAATCTCTTATGTAGTTTAATATTTGGTCTGGAACGTATAGACAATCTAATGTGCGAATATCTTATCAACTTGAAAAAGAAAACCCGGTCCACAGAAAACGTGCGTATCTAACGAACAAACAAAGAAATTATTATTAAGACAAAGAAAGACGTAACAAACTCTCGATTATACAGATATGGATCGATCATCGATAGATCGGCAGGAGCGGGAAATTGAATTCCCAACAAAACATAATTGATCAGAAATCATATACAAATTGCAATTCCTTAAATCAATCGTGTAACAAATCTTACTTGGAAAAGCCAAACCCATATCTTTTATAAATTGCAATTGCTTATATCGTGTGACAAATCTAACTTGGAAATGCCAAATCCGTATCCTTTAAATTGTCAGTTATCCATTTGTTAAATCTCTCTTCAATCTCCGCAGTGAACATTTTTTTCCAACCACCTATTATCCCTTGCCGTATGAACATTTTCGGTTGCATCACATCGGATCTGGCCGGCTGATTTATCATAGGATTCTTGCGGAAATTCTCTATTTTTAAATGCTCCACTAACTTAGCAATTTGTTCATCGCTATATGTTTTATCGAAGAATGCGGCTATTTTTCTTATGTTGCCAGATAAATCCTGTGCAAAATAGACGGAAACGTTAATTATAGAATCATAATTAAATAATATACTATATCTGTATTATCAGATGTATTTTTTTTTTTCTTGTGAGTAATATAAATAAGCAATGTGTTTGCATGTGTATACTGAAAAGTTTAAAGAAAGATCTTCAAAGAAATAGTATAATTACAACATATTTATTTAAAAAATAAAACTGTACTCATATTAATAATACTCGAAGCCTCAAAAATTATTGAAAATCGAAATTATATATTTATTTCCTTCTATTTTGTAAACAAATTGACATATGTCATAATTTAACAACTTTTTCATCTTTTGTAGAAAACAGTGCAATTGAATAAAATAGAATTTTTTTTGTTTTACCTTTATGAGATCTTCGTAAAAGAAAAACATCATATTTGCTCTGTGTCTCATCGCCCAAGCTTCCTTCACATGTTCCCAATATGGACTCCAATGCACTGAAATTGCAAAAAATTAAGCTTTTAAAACGCTAATTAAGAAAAAATAAATAATCGAGAAAGCTTACAGTGATTATTCATGAAATTATTACAGAACTGTTCAAAAGTTCCGTGAAAATCGGAACGTTTCAAGGTTTTCTGAAAATGATAATAGGAAACTACCACGTCTCTTGGATTTCTTGCAACATAAATAATCTGAAAACAAAAGTGACGTCTATGAAAACTGTTGTCTGTAAGTTTTGTAATGTATCTATTTGTAATGCATAATTTGAGATGAAAAAGAATTTGTTTTTGTACCATTTAAATTGGCTAAACAATTTTAATAATATACATAAATGACACGTCCTTCTACGAGTTTAAAATGAGAATCTCAAAGAAACTATTATATACGTATCTAATTTTTTTTTCAACGTTTATCTCAAATTTTTTTCGTTTATATAAATGTAGCGATCTATATAAATGTATGTATATACGTACATTTAACTTACGAAATATTCGATCAACGTACCTTGCAAGTGCTATTTACGACTGTCGGTAGTAATTCGAGAGGCATGTGACTTTTAATGAAACGCGGTGAAGGCTGATTCCGCACGAATTCGACGCTATTTTGCTCCGTGGCCTTACCAGGAATGTCTTTCATTGTGATATCTACCAGCGGTGTTAATCTAAAACAAAAAAGAATTCTAAACTATATACTGTTATTTAAAAATGTATTTTAATTTAGAAAATTTAACAATTTTGTTTTGTAATTATTATTTTATGTAAAAGAAAAAGAATAATTTGATTTTCTATTATTATTATTTTTATTATTCCAAAGTAGAATTTAATCCAATAAAATTTCTTATATATGTACTTTAGATAAAAGTATAGATAACGAAATAATAATAACACTTGAAAATTTAAACTTAGTTTTAAAGTAAATTTTTTTATATTAACACAAAAGTTTTTTTATTGTAATATTGTAAAAATAAAAAATATAAATTTCTATAGTTTTTATACGATATAACATATAAGGATATAATATATATGTATAATACTATACTCTATAAAGGGAAATCTCTCTACTAAATATTTTCGATGTGCTTCGTCGAAATTCATGTCATTCGCCACCAGCCATATGAGTTCCTGCATTATCGTCGTACCTGTAATCAATATAATACATAAAATTATTATTTCTGATAACAGCATGAAATTGCAAAATTTTTGATTTACGTCTAACTACAATAGCTAGATCACTTTTAACAGTTCATTAGGTATTTATTATTCCCAATATTATCTATTTTTCGAAATTTTTATGTTTGAATAACATTGACTCAAGTTTCAATGTCAACGATAATATTTTTCTAAATTGAGTGTTTTAGTTTACGTTGCATTTTATTAATATTGATAAAAACATGACTCATACAACACAGAATATTGAAAGAACGTTGTAGAGACGTTGCATGTTGAAGTGTGAATGTTTTTCCAACATTGAATTTAAACTGATTTTTGTATATTAACTGTTAATATTGCTGCAACGTTGAAACTTAAATCGCTTATTCGGGAACAATACGCAGCACTGCTATCAAATGGACGCAGCGGAGTTCTATTCTCGTAAATAAAAGTCACGTAAAATAAAATAAAAGACGCAGCATTATGAACTTCTTCACTAATGTTTAAACGAAATGATATTTTAACTGTGCAACTCAAGCAGCATATATTATATATTTTAGATACATACTAATATATTTGCAAAAGTTTTATAAATTATATAGGCCTGCAAAATTAAGAGTTCTAAAGAAACAAGTGATAGAATAGTGATTTTTTACGTAATTTTGATCGTTGAATTCAAACCCTCTTAAATAAAAATAAATAAACAGTATTTTAAGAGTATTTCATTTAATTTTGGATGAAAATTAATTCAGAAACCTGATATTTTTGGAAGTTTTATGATATTTAAGAAATGTTGAATGTTCCAGCTCGAATTGCAATGTTTTTACTTTCTTCAATGTTTTGCAAACATTAGATATTTTTGCAATATCTTCTCAACGTTAAATCTACATTTCGTAACGTTAATGCAACATTCAATGTTGCAATTCAACGTTTGTGTGTTGTAAGGGTGATTTGGGATAAGGGTGATTTAAATTGGGGTTCTTATATTTATGATCGACTTGTTTCTATATATTAGGGTATAGGGAAAGTTTCTGCGCATTTTTATTTTTTAAAATAAAATTAATGGTACAGTACCTGTTAATCGAAGTATTTGTTTTCTACCACCTTTGCCCACCTTTCAGGCAGCATACAAATGCCACGTTGAAAAAATTCATTATCTTTTGACGCAATCCAATTATCCATCCATTTTCGTACATCATTGATATTGGAGAAGTGCGCATCAGATAACGCATGTTGCATCGATCTGAATAGGTGGTAATAAAAAAGGGCATCTGGTGAGCAAGCTGGGTGCGGGAGAACTTCCCATTTTAAGTTCAACTGCGCTTCCTTGAACTCCTCAGTAATATAGGATCTGGCGTTGTTATGGAGCAGGATGACTTTGCGCCAATTTGCGGCTATTTAAGGACATTTTTTGATTAGTTCCCGGTTCAGTTGTCTTAGTTGTTTATTGTAGCGATCTTCTGTGACTGTCTAACCCGATTGTAGCAGCTCATAGTAGATGATTCCCTCCTAATCCCATTAGATACACAAAAGGATCTTATGATCGTGGTTAGCCAAGAAAGCGCTGTTGGACTTAGAATGGAAAGTCCTCCCGCACCCAGCTTACTCACCAGACATTGCCCCTTTTGACCATCTATTCAGATCAATGCAACATGAGTTGTCTAACGCGCACTTCTCCAATGCCAACGATGTGCGAAAATGCGTGGATAATTGGATTGCGTCGAAAGATGACAAATTCTTTCAATGTGGCATTCATATGCTGCCTGAAAGATGGGCAAAAGTGGTAAAAAACAATGGCAAATACTTCAATTAACAGGTACTGTTACTTTATTTAAAAAAATAAAAATTGTCAAAAATACGCAAGAATTTTCCCTACACTCTAATAAAATGAGATAATTGTAAGAACAAATGCATAAACAACACTCAATTACGATTTTCTTTTGCAAATTGTGTAATTTAAATAAGATTAAATATATTACTGTTATATTAAATTGTGTCACATGTTTGTAACTTTCCAAAATTTTTTCATTTTTGAAGTTTATTTTGTTAAATTTTTGTTTATTTTACGAAAATGTCAAATATTTATTCAACATTCCTAACAGTATTAGAAAAAATTACTAGATTATCTGATAAAAGACACTTTCTAGTTTGTATTTATGTTTTCTTATTTTTAACTATTATTTAAGAAATATAATCTAGAAACCGGAAAAGACAAAAATGGTATGACAGTATCGGCGACTTTCCTTTATCATTTTTTAAATAAACTTTCATGTAAATAAAATTATCTTGATATTGTACCTTTAAAAATTTACAAGCTAAAAAAGGTGATAATTATACTTCAGAATTTATTGTTTTTAAAATTATACTACGCGTCAAATACATATATGATAGTTTTGGAAATGTTTGCATCAAAAGTAAAATTTAATATTGCTATTTCTCGTACACCAAGCAATTGATGTAATAATATAATAATTAAAATTTGCGAGATAAGTAATAATAATAATAATAATATACAATTTGTGCAAAGCTTTCATAATGTTTCTAGATAATTTAAAAAAGATAATTTCATTTAAAACACGTATTTTTATTTCAGTTTTAAACTTTAGCTTTTTCCATTACAAAATAAACAAGGTCATGCAACACATGTTTTAGATAAGAAAATAATTTTCGGATGTTTATGTTCCAATATAAACTTTAATAACAGAATAGATTATCAGTTGTAATAAGAATTTTTTTATCATAATTTGTGTTTTATTATACACTCCCGTTCATAAAAGTTTAGACATCTGCATAAATATTATAGTTATTTTTAAAAAATATAACGTTACAAAACAACAATTGCATTATTTTCATATACTTTAGATACATACTAAGACATTTGCAAAAGTTTTATAAATTATACAGGCCTGCAAAATTATGGGTCTTAAAAAAGCAAATATCAGAATAGTGATTTTTTAAGTAATTTTGGTCGCTGCATTCAAATCCACCAGCAAAATGTTTATTATATCAGATTTTTAAGCTGTATATGTGGTAATATAAATAAAAAATAGTGATTTTTGCCATTTTTAAAGCGTTACTATGGCTGACCAAATTATGTTTTTAATATTCTCTCAGCGGCATCTCTCAGCGCTGTCTTTTACTTTTAAATAGCGATTTTGTTTATTCCTGTACGATTTTTTTTCGCCGAGTTATGAAGGTTTCAAGATGAAAATTCTTCGGCGATGAGGCTATGTACTGCGAAAGTAATGAAAAATCGGTAACTCAGTAAATTATAAAGTACACAAACATAAAGTATCGACGCATAAAAGTAGAGCAATAGTAAAAACAGTAGTAAAATGGTTAATGATTTGCTAGCATTTTACGACGAAGAGATATAGCAAATAGGCATAATCATGGTTGCATCTATAGCTCTTGTTTTACGTAAGTACATATGTACCAAATTGCGGATCATGTATCTCGCGAGAAACGTAACCATGCCATCGTAACTGCGTCGCGATTATAGCCATCGATACTTTGAATGTACTTTATAATTCAC